CAGTACCGATAAACTGATGTGATCTTTATTCGTAAATTATATTTTTCATAAAAACAGTAATGTTAGTCAGCTCTGGTTTGGCGTATTTACATTCCTTTTACTTTTTGGCAATATTTAAATATGTATGAAAGACAATTTATATATATATTTAGATACGATGCTCTCAGGAACGAAATTATTAAACTTAGACTTTAAATGGGTTTTACATGGAAGTTTTGTCAATACACCTAAGGTAAACCACTTAACAAATACACCCATGCACATTTTAGATGGTTTCCAAGTGTTCAACAAACTGGGAAATTTGCAAAGAAATTTTAGATCTTTACATCACCGCTGGTGGCAAGGAAGTCGAGCAGGTAACATGAAATATACGCAAATATCACTTTTGTTATAAGTTTGGAGTGACTTTTAAACTTGATTTGAATTTAATATTTTCGTCTTCAGCGGTATCGGGTAAAAATGTTAACCATACTGTACAAAAGAGACATTGTGTGACCGCACACAACGTGAAAAATGAAGGCGCAAATGAAGGTGAACATGTTTTAGTTTAAAAAAGGATGACAAACGTACCATTGGAGCCGTTAACGTATAATCATAGATTATAGATTTTTCATAACAACTATCACAAAGTCACACTTTTTTTCTAGACTTTGTCGGATCTGGTATTGTCTCACCCACTTTCAGCCGATCAAAAACAGGAACTGGTTCAGAAGTTGTCCTTTATTGCCAAACCCACAAAACACATCTTAACCACAGTCAAGACACTCTGGAACACGCTATTCTCTCAAGGCGATCCATCCCAAAGTCACGTCATACTTACCCTCGGCTCCCTCGCCTCGAAGGAAACTACCAGTACTGGTTTCCGGTCAGAATTAGTTGATCTTCTTCGACGCCATCTTCAATCAGGCGACAAAAATAACGACACGGAGCAAATCAGTGACGCTCTTGAGGCTATAGGTAATTTTGGAGACAACAGACTAATACCGGATGTTTTGGCAATCGCTAATAAGGGAAAGCAGTCGGAAGAGATAGAGATAGGCTGTATCCACGCTCTAAGAAGAAACTTCCACGTTAAGTCGGTTCAGAAATGGCTAGTAGACCTACTGACTCGTCCAACATCTACCTGTGAATTACGTGAAGCTGCCGTGGTTACTATCAAACGCGAACTTGCCTACAGAAAGGCACTGGATACCAAAAATAAGGCATGGCCCAATTCAGGCGTCACAGACGTAGATGCAATTCTTCTCAATGCACTTGTTATGGCAGATGTCAAATATGAATGCGCATTGTCAGATATTAAGGACTATTTCCAACTAAAAGGTGTACCAGTTGGCAATACTTTTAAAACTTACTACACCACTAATTCGACGCGCACCAAGAGAAGAGTTGACCATCGTGATTGCAGTTCTTGGAGCACCCACGGTTCACGTTATTCAGAACTGTTAAGTTTATGGCAGTTCTCAAGCGATAATTATTTTTACCCGGACAACAAGCACTGCCTTTCCCACATAAGTTACGGCCCATCAAAAGCCCATGTTTATATCAAGTCCGGTGTCTTTGCTGGCACAAATAAACAACGAGGGTATTGTAAACTGTACGGCAAGTCAATCGCTAAACTCAAAGTCTTCTCCAAGTCGCTGACACTCGCCAGTGCAGAAGCTTATCGTTTGAAGGTTGGCAGCAGTAGGACAAGGGTCTATCTCAATGTCTACGGGAAGACTGTGGTGAATATATATCATTCTGGGCCACTGTATAAAACTTTTCCTGTTTACAAGCCATCACCAATAACCATCACCTTGTATAGGATTCATATCTATGTCGGTTATATCTCTTTCACCGTTACCTTGGCCCCAAGTCTGGACCTTAGTGTCAGGATAGGGAATTGTCCTCGTACAATTAATCCCTGTTCTCAATGCCTGAAGATGACCCTCACAGCAAGTGCACGCATCTCTGGCGGTGCTACAGCTAATTTGGCTGTAAGTATATAAACATATACATTACAGAGAGAGAGAGAGGTGGTGGGAATATGTTCAGACAACGCATTATATAACTTTGTAAAAATAGAGAGAGAGAGAACCGATATTTAAAAAAAAACAATTAACAATTGATTTTAATAGCTGTAACAACAAAATATCAAAAGAGCAACATAGAACTTTTAAATATACCGATATATTGTAGTTATTTGAAGAAATAGATGTTATTTCAGGTTTGCTTAATCAATTTAAATTACTAGAAAATCCTGGAAGAACATTTTCTACGGCAATAAAGAATTTGCTTAATGCTGTTAACCTCTGACGGCTAACTTGGTCATATCAATAATGATTTATATCGATAACAAGAACTTTTAAAATTACAATTTACACCACCACATATGCGCCTTACATTCATTCCAGGCAGTGGTTCGTGGTGGGATTTCCATCGTCGTTGCCGTCAATTACCTAGTTGAAGGAGATGGGAGGCTTTACCCTCGAGCTGGTTTATCGTTCTACCACGGCCACAACCCCATGACAATTAACATCCAAGCTTGGTATCAAATCAGATCTAAGATCAAGATTAGTAGCTGGAGGTTCTGGGTAAGTTGTGAATTACTGTACCTCGACCTCAGCTGTTTTGGTTTCTAGTTTAGTTTAATTTGATTTGGTTCAGCCTAATTATGATGTTTTATTTTAATTTCATTTATTTATTATTTTGATAACTGTAATTTGTATTCTTCGCGTTCTATTTCGTATTGCACTTTCATTTATCTCTAAGTCATTTATGTGGAATTCAAATCCTTACCTCACATTTCACATTGGTATGATTTTTTGTTCATTTCAGGAGTGGAGATGGACCTGGGGAAGCAGGAAGACCTGGAGTCCGTCATCGCTGTCTTGGAGCTTGGGGAGCTCTCCAAGGAAACTAATCGCTAGAGTTTGATAAATGAATTACAACTTTTCTCTGCTTTGATTAATAATTGCACATGTGTGTACGCGTACATGTGTGCACGTCGGCACGACTACATATGTTTTTACATAAAATTCTACATAACAGAATTACCGCATAATTTAACTTTTGCATAGCAATATATTCGGCAATACAAACATGAACTGTGTCGGACACGCAGGCCCCTATGAACACCGACGCGTATTTATGTTTTCCTTGGTATGAAAGACAAACAGCGTACTAGACATTTACATATCTAGTTGAACAATGGTTTTCCAGGAAACTTCGTCTAATTTACCAAAATCACCAAGGTATACCCTATTCAAATGACCCGTTGGGAAAATAAAAATCACTTAGACCGTTTTTAAGTCTTTTGTTTTCATTTTGGGTTTCGTAAAGTAAGTCATATATGGAGTACTGTGCAGCTGAACCCCGGATGTTACTATAAGCTGTAGGGAGCACTGGTGTCTTGATCCATAATTATATCTGTAATCATGGTAAAATACAAAAAAGTGCTCTTGCATCTGAAACCTCTGTGTTGTAAAACGTATTTTTCAAACAATCGGGTTACTAATTACCAAGAAGCTGTGGCTACAAATATCTATACGAGAAAAAAGGAGGAGCTGCAATGCATGTGGCTGCTTGAGATGTTTCTTGGATGAAAAAAATGCATAGTTTATAATGTTTGTATAACAAAATATCCCTTTACATTGTGGTTATAATACATGTGTTTCCTGTCATTTGGGAATGTTTTATCAATACTTCGAGTGGTTATGACAAATAAAAGGAGATATATCTCTACCACCCTAATATATAAGGTTTAAACTGCCACGGAATACATATAACCTAGAAGGCAAAAAATGAAACCGGATTTTTTTTCTAATTTTTTTCAAAAGAATACAACCTAAGAAGCCAGTGTTTTAATCCGTATACATGCGTCAGGCTTAAAATACTGCCACGGTCGAGGGATCTTGTGCTCAATAAGTACAAAACACGTGAAACAAAGGAAAAGAATGTTCATGGATATCATCAAGTCACTGCGTAAACAAAAAAAGGTCTTTTATATATTTCAAAAAAAAAAAAAAACCATGAAAACAAGTTAAAATGATGATTTGGTTGTTTTAATCGGGTTATCACGTCACTGATTGTGTTTTCTTCATGTTATCCGTCTTAGTAATGTGCAAGTTACATGGGTACATGCAACATGGAAAGTAAGCCTGATGAAATACAGAGGTTTAATTTCATTCATTGGAAAGTTTAAATTTTAAATACCCATTTAGATGTTTTTACGGTTATATCACATAACTCATTGTGTTTTATCCAGGGTCCCTGACATATCAGTTTACATGTCTGTGCCTTCTTTGAGTTATAAGCCGTGAAAAGCAATATTGAAAGTATTTAGCTGAATCTAAATATTTTTGATATGTGAAAACACAGTGTCGAACAATTTTAAAAAGCAAAACCATCCCAGTTACGTTTCACTTTTGTCTTCTGTCAGGCTCAGTTATCATCATGATATTTATTTATTTATTTATTTATTTATTTATTTTTTGAAATTATGCATGAATCTTAGATTTTTTTAAAATAGTTTCCTCTCTACCTACGTGTTCTTAGACGTTTATCAGGTAATAGAGGGTCCTCTCACGTGTTTCAAGAAAAAAAAATGCGTAAAACAAATTACGCAGAAACGTATATGCTTCAATAGATCTTTTATCAAGGTCAGTTTGAATGCAAGCGTCAGGTGGGAGTTTAAGATAATGTCTTATTATTCAATTAATACACACAAAATATCACGATTCAGTCTTGAATTAAAAAAATCACAAAATCAGTTTGAATACTAGCGTCAGGTGGGCGTTTATGAACGTGTCTTATTATTTAATTAAAACACACATTTATCACGATTCAGTCCTAAATTCAAAAAAACATTTAAAGTGTGTAACAAAGAAAAGGAACATTGAAGTCATCAAATCCCTTCACGCGCAATAAAAGCGTTGGCGCAAACATTTCAAAATTTTAAATATAAGCTATTCATGTTTAACGTGAGAAAATATTTTTTTATTATCATACTAAATAATCTGTAGAGTGGATTTTTCGTGGAAAAATATTTATGTAATTAATTTCGCCTCTACCTACGTATCCTAAGACTGTTATGAAGAAAAAGAGTTTTCTCTTTTGTATTCACAAAATGTTTTTTTTTTTTTTTTGTATTGTTATTTTTATTTTTTTAGAATTTATTTTTTTGTAAGCATGTATGAATCTAAAAAAATATTTAAAAAATAATTAGTTTCTCTCTACCTACATGTCCTGCGGTTTATCAAGTAATATAGTTTCCTCTCATGTGTTTCAAGAAAAAAAAAACACGTCAAGTGTAAAACGAAAATGCGTAAAACAAATTATGCAGAAACATATAGGCCTCAAAGTATGTTGTTTCAAAGCCTGTTTGAACGCAAGCGTCTGGTGGGCGTTGATGATCGTGACTTATTATTTAATTAATACACACATAATATCACGATTCAGACTTGAATTCATAAAACAAAATCAGCTTGAATACAAGCGCCTGGTGGGCGTTTATGATCGTGACTTATTATTTATTTAATACACACAAAATATCACGATTCAGTCCTGAATTCAAAAAACACCAAAAGCGTGTAACAAATAAAAGGAATGTTCAAATCATCAAATCCCTTTATTCGCAATAAAAGCGTTGGCGCAAATATTTCAAACGTTGTGTAGTTTTTAATATGGGTTATGCATGATAAACGTGAGAAAACATTTCTACTGTAATACTAAATCACCTATAGTGTGGGTTTTTCATAGAAAAATATTAAAGTAATTAGTTTCGTCTCTACCTACGTATCCTTAGACGGTTATGAAGAAAGAGAGTTTTCTCTCGTGTATTTAATAATGTTTCAAGTATAAATGCTTATTTGGACTTTTCACGGTGCTACATTGTATCACATCACTGACTTTTAAGACGGTTATGAAGAAATGTGCTTTATCCAGGGTACCCGTCATAACAATTTACATTTCTGTGGCCTTCTTTGAATGAACTTTGATATATGAAAATGCAGTGCCGAACAATTTTAAAAGCATAAACACCCCAGTTACGTTTAAATTTAGTCTTCTTTCAGTCTCTTTCAGTTTTAATCGTGATATTTGTTTGTTTGTTTGTTTATTATTTTTTTTTTGTGTGTAAACATATATGTATCTTAGAAAAATATATTTTTAAAATATTATTTTCCTCTCTATCTACGTTCCCTGTGGTTTATATATAGAGTTTCCTCTCCTGTGTTTCAAGAAAGTAAACACGCCAACTGTAAATCAAAAATGCGTAAAACAAATTATGCAGAAACATATAGACCTCAAAGGATCATTTTCCTAAGTCAGTGTGAGTGCAAGCGTCAGTTGGGCGTTCATGATAATGTCTTATCATTCAATTCATGCTCACAAAATATCACGATTCAGTCTTGGATTAAAAAAACCCTCAAAACTCGTGTAACAAAGAAAAGGAATGTCAATATCATTAAATCTCTTAATTCGCAATAAAATCGTTGTCGCAAATATTTCAGACGTTGTGGAGTTTTGAATATGAGCTATTCATGGTCACGTAGGAAATCCTTTTATTATTCTAAATAACCTATAGTGTGGGTTTTTCTTAGAAAATATTTAGGTAATTAGTTTCGCCTCTTCCAACAGTTATGAAGAAATATATATATATATATTTTTTTCTAATGTTTTGAAGAAGAAAACGATTCAAGATTAAATGCTTATTTGAATTTTTTAACAAAGATTTCACATCACCGATTGTGAGGGTGTAATGCATTATTAAAATTATTTTTCGATGTGCGCATGCATATATATATATCACACGTGCTGGAGAGCTTTTATCAGTCAGACCTTGGAAGTAAGAAGAGTTAGTTTGGAGCAGGTGAGTGAAATGGCTTCATATGTTTTCATTTATAGTTTGGTATTGATTAATAAGTATATCTATTTTATTTATATATCCATTTATTTATGTCTGTCAGTTTTATTTTTTGCTTTAATTGTTTGTGTTCTCTTAATAANATCCGGGTCTCAGCCGTAGTACTTCATTCATAGTAAACCGCGAGACTTAGCGAGAAATTGCGCGTTCTGAAGCCGTACTGTGAGGTGGTAGCTGAGTATTTAAGACGAGTCGTCTTTTATTATTTAATGGAACTTAAAAACGGTATTAGGTAGCTTCATTTTCTGAACGGTTTTGGATAGGATATACCTTGGTCATTATGGGGAAATTGGTGAGTTTTCCAGGAAAATTCATTTTCGTGCTATTTTAAGGGTTTAACGCGCTGAGACTGTCTTTAAAGCACCTGCTAGAAGACAAAAGTGAAACAGTGATACTTTTCTTCTCTCTTTTTTTTCTTTTTTCTTGAAAAGTTGCTCTGCAGTGCATTTTGATAAAATTGTTTGAAATTAACATTTATAAGCTTAACGTTAGGTTGTTTTAAAAGTGAAACAAATAGGTATCGACCTCATACTTTTTAATCTCATATACTTTAATATCAGACGGCATATACTACAAAACGATGTATTATAAGAGTCGATTCCCCACTCTAAAACTTTTGTCCCAGTGCAAAATAAAAATTCTCCTTCATAGAACGTTTAAAATGAAGTCGTTATAGACGAATCGTTTCAACAGAATACAACACGGGTATTAAATTGGCAGACAGCGAATGTACTTTTTAAGGAAATTGAAAGCTTTTACCAGGGATGTGTCTATTTTAACGAACTTTTATAGGTGTGTTTTAGAAAGTGTTTTAACTTATGCAGTAACTTTTATATGGACGTGCAACTGTAGAGGATAAAAACCCAACTAGAAAAGATTGTTGAAACTGCAGGTAACGTAATTGCAAAGGATCTTATCCCATTCACTCCATTTATCTCGATAGTGTTTTTAATAAAACAGCTCCCATCATGACTGATATTACTCATCCAGCTCAAAACCTTTTCATATTTTTACCCAGTAACTCTTGGCTTTTCGTTTTTAAGGGTACAGTAAGCGATTTTTATCTAGCTTTTATCCTTCAGCAGTAACTCTTTTAAACATTTAAACGCAATTTCATTTTAGTACATTTAAATAGTTTTATTCAACAATGGCGCTATTACAGGGCAAATGATTCCCGATTTTATTCATTTGTTATTTATTGGTTTAGTTAAATATTATCTTATCTTATCTATAGACCGAGGAGGAGTGGGATCATAGTTGTTGAGATAAAAATAGAATGGTGTCTAAAAATGTTTAATTGGAATAGTCATCACCATTAGATGTGTATATTATTATTTTATTATTAGAAAAATAT